CTTTGTGCTCTGTGTGTGTGTTTGTTTATTTTTTAATGGAGAACTGAAGATTGATGGATGAAATTAAGAAGAGGGATGTGTAATTGGAAAACAGCTCAAAAAGGCTACAGGCAGCATATTGAAGGCATCCATCAAACATCCAGCTAACGTTGTTAAGGGCGTGTAACACAAATAAGGGCTGCAGGAGACACTAGGAAAAAAAGAAATAAATGGAAAGATAAAGGGGAATAGGCAGGACAGGGGAAATAGCAAGAGAGGAGAAGAGCCAGCAAGAGAGTATGGTCAATAATATTCGTACTGCAATCACTTCCAAAGGCTCCTCTCGGGATCAGTGCAGGACTGCACAGGCACATTAGAGACAGTCCCTGCCCTCTACAGCTTAAACCCAGGAATTACGGGGTGGTTGCTGGAAGTGAGTTTAGATGATCGCAAAATTTTCTTCTGATCTTGAATCTCATTTAATAGGATCTACTCTGCATGGGTTTAAAGGCAGAGGGAAGGTTGCTGGTTGTGCCAAGAATACACAGAGTAATGCCTGCCAGCCAAGCATGCAATTAATCTGAGCCACTTAGGGGACTTTGTTTTTAATTATAAAACATAGGTGAAAATATGAGCAGTAAACCTCTGCAAACCCCACTGGGGCCATCAGCAGGCTACCCGGAGACATTGCCATGTGACTGGGTTTGATGCTGTGTTTTCAAAAGGTTGGGCTGATGTTTTAATGGACCACTTTGTGGGAAATATTCCGCGGGGGGGGCAGGTTAAGAAAATGCAAAGCTCTTTTGTATGAAGAAGGAGAGAAGACAAAGGCAAAAATTAGTAGTAGGCCAGGGGATTCCTCTAGTCCTGAAAACAGGGAAGAAGAGAGACTCTTAAGGACTGAGAAAAGGTGAGTAAAAGATGGATGGATGAGGATGGCAGTGGGGGAGAGAAGGTAAGGTTTTAAGGAGAAGACAAAGTGTTCCACACACATTTTCCAAAAATGGGGTTAAAGTCAGACTGCTCTGTGAGGTGCACAAGTTACATAGTGTTTTATGCAGGCGTTGACTGCTTCAAAATTGCATGCTTTGGAAAAGCAAGAGAGAGAAGGTGCATGTAGAAATAAATGAGCATGGAGCACCAGGGGAATTTATACACAGAGACAGCATCTCAGCTTGTTTGCAGTGTTCAGGAAGCATGAACAGGGCTGGCTGTGAGGAGGAGGAGAAGGATCTAGAAAGGGAATTTGTTAAACCCCTTCTAACTCTGATCCACTCTCCTCTGTGCCCTGTTGGCAACACAGCTGCCATAACTGCCTCCTCCTCTCCTTCCTTCCAGAGCGACCTGAGTTTGCAGCAGTGGCAGGCCCACTGCACAAACACTGTGCTTGTATAATTAAGGGCTACTACTAAAGAGAAAAAAACACTGTCTGCCTGACTCTAGTGCAGGGACCTTTGTAATTGCAAGCATCCCACAGGAAGCAAGGAGCTGTGATGACCCTGAGCTTCTGGGTGGACACAGGTGTCTGCTACCACTACAAGGCAGTGCAGAGCCCTCCCTGAATTTCTTTGATGGCTCTGGCTGTTCTCACAGCCTCGAGTGATGGAAAGCTTTGCTCTGTGCTGCTACCCTAGTAAGGAATTTTTTTTCCTGGAGGGAAAGCAACCCCTGGTGTGGGTAACTCCATCCTGCCCTGTGTCCAGCTTAGATCTGTACCGTACCAAACACCTACACCTTCTGAACTAAACTTTGAAGAAGACTCTTGTACCTGCCCTGGACCCAGCAATAAGAAAGCAATGAACTAGTGCAGAGCCAGCACTGCAGATGCCTTCTCCTGGCATCATCAAAACACTCGTGTGTGCCCCTGGCCACACAGCCTCCTTGGACAAGTTCTTCATCAGTTTTCCATAGCTTGAAAGTAGAGGAATGGCCACCATGGTGTTTCCTGAGTGACGAGGTTAGAAGCATTAGAAATTATCACCACAAGACAGTTGGTTTGAGGAGCAGTGGAGGTTGGTTCCATATAGGGATTCCTCAGCATGGTACCGTTGGTGCCTAATAAGGAATGAGTTTGTGTTGCAGCAATTTCTTTAATAGGGCTTGTGAGTATCTACTTGCCTGCCAGAAGACTTGCCGAGACATGCTAGTCTTCTGTCAGATTTGACTGCAATGGTCTTGATAGTTATTGGCAGTAGGGCATAATAATACTTGTTTTTTTCAGGATACCAAGGTAAAATGTCAGGGGAAGAAAAAGTAAAGACAGGTCCTATAAAGGTCCCAGAGAATTAATTTAGAATAACACCATCTGATATTTTCCAGGAGTACCATGTGGCTGCAGTGACTACAAAGCAGAGCCCTTTTGGACCAGTCATCATGTTTCTTCTCACATGATTTTCTAAGGCTGAAGCAGGGCACTCTTACCCTTTGGTCAGATAAGGAGCTGCTGCATCCACATCCTGGGAAGGGAGTGTCCTTTGCACTCATTTTCCATCCCTTTGAGGACCTGGGTTTTAGATGAATAGCTTTCAATACACCTAGGAGATCCTTGGAAGAGCAGTAATTTAAAGCCAACCAATTTGAACCTGCTTTCCATCACATTGTATCAGTGTGATACCATTGCCCTCTTCCCTCAAACTGCCTTTATCCTAGGAGAGCATGAGGGCCTAGTTGGGCCATGCCATTCAGCAGCAATCTGGTTCCCAGGGTGTCTGACTGTAGTTTCCTAACAGAAATCTCACTGCAGGAGGCTAATGAAAATTTTATGCTCCCTGTAGCCTCCTAATGAGCATCGCTGTGGTAATGAGGAAGTCCACTGGGAGAAATATTTGGCATTCAGAAAGGTAATCCCTTTCTGAGGGGGAGGAAACGGATTACAGATGTTAGCAGGGGGGAGAGGGGAATAAAATCCAGCTATCAAACATCAGGCAGCCTGCTTGGAGTGACAGCAGAAAGTCCTCTACTCTGCTCTGGTGAGACCTCACCTGGAGTACTGTGTCCAATTCTGGAGTGCCCCACATAAGAAGGACATGGAACTCCTTGAGCATGTCCAGAGAAGGGCCATGAAGATTATCAAAGGGCTGGAGCACCTCCCCTATGAAGACAGGCTGAGGAAGTTGGGCTTGTTCAGCCTGGAGAAGAGGAAGCTTTGTGGTGACCTTATAGCAACTTTCCAAGATCTGAAGGGGGCCTACAGGAAAGCTGGGGTAGGGCTTTTTACACAGGTGTGTAGTGAGAGGACAAGGGGCAATGGTTTGAAGCTCAAAGAGGGGAGATACAAGTTGAACATTTGGGAAAAGTTCTCCTGTGAGGGTGGTGAGATGCTGGAACAGGTTGTGGATGCCCCATCCCTGGAGGTATTCAAGGCCAGGTTGGATGGGGCTTTGAGCAACCTGGTCTAGTGGGAGGTGTCCCTGCCCATGCAGGGGGGTTAGAACTAGATGATCTTTAAGGTCCCTTCCAACCCTAGCCATTCTATGATTGTATGATTCTCAGATGGTAAGAGGTAACTTTATTCTGTACCCTTCAGTGTTTCTGTGGCCTGGTTCTGTTCTGCAACAGAAGTGGATCCCTCTTTCTGGAGCACTGCTGTTGTTGCTGGTGTGTAGTAACAGTATTTGGAGATTGCAGACCCAGAGAGGGACCAAAGCAGAAGCTGGAAGTTGGAGAAAAGGGTTCCTGACAGTGTGCCAGAGCTATAAGGAAGGCAGCACATGCACTAGGCATACCCATTTGATGTTGGACTTCCAGAAGTAATCTCTGGGATCTCATGCTCCTCTGAGTTTCTGCACACAGGCTGTTAAGAGTCTTTCAGACAGGTGAGCCAGGACTCATCACACCATGACTTTACACAGGGCTGAGTTATGTCCCTGAACAAGTGGTCTGCAGTAGGCATCCAAATAATTCAGTCTGTATTTTCCCAACTGATCATTTATGTTGGATACTTTGTTGAAGGCATGTCTGCCTTGAGAAAGAAGCCAAGGATCTGATTTCCAGATAGGCTGATGCTCGTTAATCATGTTAATTAGTGAGAGCTGAAGGTGCTCAACAGTTGTGAAAAATCAAGCACAGGACCATGTAGCTTGGACCATCCATAAATAAGCCACCCCCTCTTGTTGACTTTACTTTAGTCCTCTATTTATTTTCTTTTAGCTTCTCTCGCCTTATAGAAAGATTTTTGAAAGCAAATGTTACCTGTTGTTATTCCTCAGATCTCATGATCATTTTCATTACAGAAATGCTAAAAAAGAAATTACTCTGAAGTCTGTGATTTAAAATAAATGCTGCAGTTGCCAAACAGTGAAAGCTGGGAATAGAAAGGGATGTGAAATAATTAAACTTTCAGCAGACTTTGCCAGCACTTTGGAATGACTGAGGCAGGGATTTTGTAGAAAACTTAGTAGGTGATAGTATGCATCACTGATTGCCTCAATGCCTCTGCATAAGGAGGATGAGTTAAAACTGCAGGAGTGAAAGAGATGCTGGCTATCTTGAGGATGCCTGACATTTTCTCTTTTGTCCACAGGAACAAAAAATCTTGCACACAGTCTAAAAAAATTCTACAAAAGCAATAAAATAAATGGTCACCACAAAGCTCAGGAATTAATACCACCCCCAGAGAGGGGGCAAGTAACATTCCTCTCTAGTTTCAGAATCAGCAACATGAATGACCCCAAGTCAAGGACAGTGGGTTCATCATGGAGCAGCAGGAGGTCCTTTATAGCAACATAAATAAATAAAAGCTTCTGTTCAATAGCAGAGGAATTGGCCAGGGCAGCTGGATAATGGTTTGGACCTGCTATGTTAATGGGGCTCCTTGTAAGCTTATACTTAGACAAATGCCTTGCTGGATCAGGGCCCAACATTTATCATGCCTTCCTCCAAGCAAGCCAAACTCAGTCTATTAGTTTGGCCTCTAGACTTACCGTCCTAGTATTTGTGGTGACAGATATTTTGGAGGCCTTACTCTTTTTTTCTGCACTGAAAGGTAGAGAGATGCCTGTGCACTGGAAGCTCTCTGCAGCATGCTGAGGAGACGTAACCTTCTTACCACGCTCCTGATCGCCTTGCCATGGGCTCTTCTCCTCACCTTGTGGCACCAGTACCCAACCACCCGCTACCTCAGCCTGCTGAGAAGTAAGTGCAAGAGTTCTGCTACCAACCTGCTGGTGGGTGTGATGACTGATGGTGCGAACCCTCAGCAGGAGAGGCTCTCTCATGGGGCCGTGGGACCAAGCAAGGGAAAAATTGCCTGAAGGTTCCCTCAGGGTTGCATGCAGCAGGCACACAAACCGTTCTTAAGAGCATGATAAACATGCACCTTTGACTGGCTTTGGGGAGCCACTGACTCCAGAAAGGTGTGTCCCCAGCGCTCCCTGAAGAGGAAGCAGTGATTAATTCCCTAATTTCTTTTTCTTCTTCCTTCCTTTTGTCCCAGAAGAGATAGATGAGAACGTGACCTCTAAAGCTCTCCTCAATGGTACATCTGCACTGAGAGAAGAAGGCCTCCCATCATGCATTCGGCAGCAGCAAAGCATAGGGGCAGCAACACCTAAAGTCATTCAGAATTATGTGTACTCCAGGCCTCCCCCGTGGTCAGACACCCTGCCAACCATCTTTGTTATCACCCCTACCTACACCCGGCCAGTGCAAAAAGCTGAGCTGACCCGTCTGGCCAACACCTTCCTCCACGTCCAGAACCTGCACTGGGTGGTGGTGGAGGACTCGCCCCGGAGGACCAACCTTGTATCCAACCTGCTGGAGAAGGCAGGGCTCAACTTCACCCACCTCAATGTGGAGACGCCCAAGAGTCTGAAGCTGGGTTTGTCCTGGATCCCATCCCACACTCCACGGGGGACACTGCAGAGGAACCTGGGGCTGCACTGGCTGAGGGACAGCTTCAGCAACACTGCACCACCAGAAGGAGTAGTGTATTTTGCCGATGATGATAACACCTACAGCCTGGAGCTCTTTGAAGAGGTAAGAGTCATAAAATTACATGGGTCAGAAAAACAGGATACAGCTGCCAACCCTCCTAAGGCCAGGTGAGCTTGTAAATACCTCTAAGATAGGGCTACCATGTGGACTTTTAGTATCAAGTGAGAGACGAGGGCTCTGGCACACTGCCTAGAACCCTCCTTGCCTGCCCTGCACTCAGTGGGAGCTGGATTTAGGGCAGAGACAAACCTGTAGTTATGCAAGTCCAGTAGCTGAGCTCTAAAGGGCTGCACGAGCAAGGAGCACATCGGTCACGGTGTAGGCTGCAGAGGCAGATAGCCACTCACACAACACGGCACCAGCTACAGCCCCTGCTGCCAAGGACCAGAGGATATATGCTCCAGAATGTATGCCTCTCCTGAGGGAGAGCTGACCTGATTTAAATAAGCACCAAAGACAAACTTCTGGCAAAGCATAAATCTGCACTGTTGTAGGGATGGGTAGGGGATGTGAGAAAAGTTGATTGACTTTCTAATCCACCTTTTCTCTTTGGCTGCCCTTCTGTATTCTGAGTTCCAGCTACCACAACAGGGCTGAGCCCCTGGGATCGCAGGAGCTTGCCCAGACTTCTGCTGGAAACCTGGCTTTTGTGAGATGCCAAGTCTATTGTAAACTTGAAAAAAAATCAGTAAACTCCCATGTCACCAATTTGAGCCAAACTGTACTACACCACTTGAAAGGCAGAGTTATGCATCAGAACACATTTTCAGTTTTCAGATTTTTTTTAATCTCCATTAAGCTCATCCTTTCTTATTTCTTCCAGGTCCTTTCTGACAATTCCAGTAAAACCCCACTCTTTTAGGCAGTAGCCATGGATGGAAGAACAAGGGTGGGGGGAATTTGCAGTAAATGAGGACAAAGATGCATCAGTCAGGGAGGGAGATGACCTGCATGAGGGCAAAGCTGGAGTGAGTGAAGTTGATAATATGGAGCTAGGGGCCTGGCAGAAGTTGTGTTTGGCATTTACAAAAATAATTATTTTTTACAAAAAATTATAAACGTTCAGATGAGATCAGAAAGCCAGTTTTCCTTCTTCTGGGGGACTGAACGGGGGCACAGAAAAGCAGTGAGTTTGATGTTCAGAGAAGAAGGTGCTAAAACAGCCTTGCAGCTTTGCAAGCTGTAGCTCTCCAAGATACAAGCACAGGTGAACAAGACCTTGTGCAGCCCAGAACTACCTGGTTGTGTGGGAAGTCAACGGGGGCGGACAGGTGCCAGTGACAGCAGAGGATGGCACACTGGTGGGGTGGGACAGACATCTTGGGGTTGAATTCTCACAGCGCTGTTTATTTCTGGCACACAGATGCGCTACACGAGGAGGGTGTCAGTCTGGCCGGTGGCTTTCGTTGGGGGGCTGCGCTACGAGTCCCCAAAAGTGAGCCCAGCAGGGAAGGTGGTGGGCTGGAAAACGGTCTTTGACCCTAACCGGCCCTTTGCTATTGACATGGCTGGATTTGCCATCAGCATCAAGCTGATTTTGGAGAAGCCTCAGGCCAGTTTCAAGCTGGAGGGAGTTAAAGGAGGCTACCAGGAAACCAGTCTGCTGAAGGATCTAGTGACTATGGAGGGGCTGGAGCCCAAAGCAGCCAACTGCACAAAGGTGAGTAGGACGAGGGACCTTGAAGATGCTTTCTCCTTGCTGGGTGCTGGCTGCTTTTGCAGCCTCCTGCCATGCTTCCACAGCTTCCAGTGTGCCTGCCTGTGCTGGCACGTGTCGGTGCCGAGTGGTGCTGGGACAGACAGACAAAGCCTGCCAAAGGCTTCACAGATGCAAAGCTCAGAGAACACTGAGGAACACTCAGTGCTATGCACTATGTGTTAATAAAGAGCTTCAGACGTACAATTTGTGCCCAGATTGCTTCTCCAAAACCCAGGAGGGTTGACAGAGGGTTGAGTCTGGGGTTTTGTTACAGAATTATCCTCCTTCCTGTCACTGTTCCATGTGCCTGTGATGTCTCTCCCAGATTCAACCCCTTCAAATCAGATGCTTCAAACAGCTGGAAGCCCCCGGTTGCTGAGGACACACACGCTGCCCTTGGAGATTCCATGGCATCTAGAGCCCCTGAATTCTTTGTGTTTCCTTCTAGGTGTTGGTCTGGCACACAAGAACTGAGAGGCCCACCCTGGTTAATGAAGGCAAACGTGGATTTACAGACCCCAGAGTAGAGGTATAAGCAGAGAGCCAGCTCCAGGGTGTGAGTACCCTTGTCTTTAGTGTTTTTGGCAAGACAAAGAATCTCTACCTATTTCCTTATTTATGCTATTATTTCCCCAAAGAATGCATATGATTGTCCCAGTAACTCCCTTACCGTGCCACCCTTTGCCCAAGAAGTAAATCCTCATCTTTACCCACTTACAGTCTGCATTTCATACTCATTTGAGCCTCCTTGCAGTCCACATAGAATCTTTGCCTGTATAGACAGAAAGAAAATGGCAGAAGAATCCCATGGTTTCATTAAGTAAAAATGGTGAGCTAAATTCCTTGCTCCCAGTTTTTGCCAGCTCCAAACTCTCTTTAATATCAGAGTTGTCCTATAGTGTGTGGAAAGAGATGCCAGTCGTGAAGATGAGCTTTTCCCCAGCAGCCCTGCTGCTTCTGCAGTGCTCCATGCATCCACCTTCAGCTTTTATCCTGCATAAACAGTTATGGTGTGGGTGCAGCAGGTAAGGACCCATGGGACACTTAGATGACCTCGAAACAGGAACCAGCAAAAAGAACCTATACAGACTCTCAGAAGAGTTTGGGGGCTTGGTACCAGCATTACCAGAGCTAGAAGTATAGCTGCTGCTGAAGAGAAATAGTGGTCCACAGAATTAGATTGAGCCACAGAGTGAGGGGATTATGGCAACCACCACAAGTGAGGGCAAGAATGGATCAGAGATATGTTCTAAGAAGTAAAGATTGATGAAGAACAGGTTTCAGAAGAGCAGTGACCTCCTCTTGCAGCTGCCATGCCCTCTAATCCCATTGTCTGCCCTTGGTGGATTCCTAGCCCAAAAGTCCCAAAATAAGAAATGTATACAGTTTGGGAATAGCCAGCTCTTTCTGGAATGACTCATACCTGTGGCAGGATGATTTACTGAATTATTTACTCCTACTTTGTAAGATGTTCCAGGGCTGCTTTCAGTCCTGACCCTGATATACAGCTCAGCTCTACCACTGGAAATAAAACTGACAGCTTTTATACAGGCAGTCACGAGCATTTCAGCTTCTGCACTGATGTGCTGTGTGCATCACTGGTAGCTGCATACAGCATTTCCACATCATCTCATCAGCTCTGAGTGAGTGGCAGCTGTACCAAGAGTGCGGAACAATCCCAGCATCTGCACACCCTGCAGCAGATGGGAGGAACAGGAGTCAGTTGCCTAACACAGACACCTGGTGCCACCACAGGGACTCTGAGGTAGCCTACCTGGCCCTCACGTAGGGCACAAACTCTGTACCATATCTGCCAGCTTTTCAATAACATCTTGGATGCCCTAGCGAGGCTTTAAGTTATGCTAAACACATATGCTGAGGCAGCAGCCCCTCTTTTAACCTGTGCTTCTGTGGAATCCACTGGCAGTAACAAGCCCATTTTACATACCCACCCATGCTGGGTTTGCAGCAAGCTAAAGCTATGATTGCCCAAACTCAGCTCCTAAGGACTCAGAATCCAGTTACCTGGTCTGGTGGTACCACTTTGTACAGGATGGGCAGGCTTATAAAAACTCAGACAGATTAGACCTGCTTTGCCTACTCAACAGAAGAAGGGCTGTCTGCTCCACTGCAGTTGCAGAGTGTGGATGTGATGCTTTCACAAATGTGCCATTTATGTATCAGCACTTTTGCTCTCACCCCCTCTCCCTGGCGACACGCTCAGCCATGCTCCATGAGAAACACCATACACCTGCTACGGATTCTCATGGGAGTGGCTCCCCTTCAGTTATTTCTTGTCCAAAATGGAAGGGACCAGTCTGAGAGATCAAGACATTGCCATTGATTCACCAGGAGGGCTTGCACCCATATCTAGAGCCATCCTCTCAGGGTGCTTTCAAGCCAGAGTCTAGGCAGGGCCAGCTCTGTAGATTTTGGAGGTGCTTTCCACTTGCTTTAGCAGAGAATTTGACCACAGTCCCTTCTGCCCCACCGTCTGCCATGTGGGGCAGCTGCTGTGACCTGCCAAATGGGCAGGTGGCATCTATTCCAGAAGACACCTGCAAGGTAAATTGCTTCACTGGGCAGTCAAGCAAAATCAGTAATTTCCCCTGTTAAAGTTTTGAATTGAGATCTCTGCTGATGGCTCCAGTGAGTTGTGGAGGTCCCTACTATCACAGCTGCTGAGCTTCAGAAACTTGACAGACATGATCTAGATAAGCCAGTACTGAGAAGGGAAAAAAAAAAAAAAAAAGGTAAAATTGCTCCCCTGAGGGCATTCTGTTCTTAGACACAATAGGGAGAATATTTGTCTTTCCCTCCTGGCAGTTAGTCCTTGTTGAGGATCAGATTGAGCCAGTCCCAGACCTCCCAGAAGCCTCTTTCC